GGGCCCATGATACGTCCTACCATCAGGCTATACTCGACCTAATGGTGGCAAGAAGCCAACTCTTTAGAGTCTCCTTTTGGGTGTTTGGCGCTTTAGCACTCTACCAACAGGGATCTTTAGGACTACTAGCTAACAAAACTAAAGAGACTAACCTGCAACATCAAGGATTGCCTAGTATAGTCTAACCTCCCCTCTTAGTTACCTACTAGGTTTCAAATCTATATAAATAGTCAGGTCAAGCAAAGAAAATGGTAAGCGTCACTTATTACTTCGAACTCTCCCAAGTTTTTATTTTCTCTCAAAAACTTCTCTGACTTAAGCATCATATGGCCTTTGGTGGATAACCTCCTTTTTTTTTTTTTTTTTTTTTTGGGTGTTCGTTGATTAGGCTAATGGTGATTGTTCTTTTATAGGTAGAATTTTGTCAAATCAACCTTGTACAAAATTTGAGTCCACAATAGTTTGTTCGGCTATGGCCCCACAATTGACCAAAAAGAAGGAAAAAAATTTAACTCTAAAAAACAAAAGATTAGGACTAATTTATTTGAGTTCACAAAATATTTTCAACATTAGGATTGAGTCAATAAGTATTTTGTAAATATTTTCAACATCAGAATTGAGTCAATCAATATTTTGTGCTTTTAAGGAAAGGCCAATGAAGATTTTTTTTTTTAGCTAGTGTATTGGCCTTACTAATTGAATAGGGAAGTTGTTTTAACTCACATTAGTTGAAGAGGATGACTTCACGAATTAGGCTAACAATGTTTGTGACACCTCACATCGTCCAGGGGAGTGGATCCTGTAAGCCTTATTTGTATATTCTCATCTCTACCTAGCACGAGACCTTTTGGGGAGCTCACTGGCTTCAGATTCCATAGGAACTCCAAAGTTAAGCCAGTAGCACGCGAGAGCACTTCCAGGATGGGTGACCCATTGGGAAGTTGCTCATGAGTTCCTAGAAACAAAATTGTGAGGGCATGGTCAGAGCCCAAAGCAAACAATATCGTGCTGCAATGGAGTTGAGCCCGGGATGTGATGGGAACCTGGGCCGTGATGTGACAATGTTTGTTCTTTTGTAAGTAAAATTTTGTCAAATCAGCTATGCACAAAATTTACATCCACAATAATATGTTGGGCATTGGCCCTACTGTAAACCAAAAAGAAGAAAAAAAAAAGAAAAAAAAAAAAAAGAAGCAAGAGTAGCTTATTTGAGCTTACAAAATATTTTCAACATTAGGATTGAGTTAGTCAATATTTTGTGTTTTTAAGGAAAGGTTAATGAAGAAATTTTTTTTTTTTTTAACAAGTGTATTGATGGATTGTTTTTATAGACTTTAGTTAAAGATGATTTTTTTTTTTTAAATTGGACTAATGCTAGAAAATGAAATGACCATTGACGTATGCCAAAATATAAATATGAGATATGCTAGTAACCTTTGCATTTTAGACCTTTTCGTTTTGACAAATGACACGTGTCATTTTTTACACAAGAAGCAAGAACTTTAATGTTTTTGTCTAGGAATTAAAGATGAAAAATAGAAAATATACATTAAATCTTGTTTTTGGATAAACAATGACACATGTTATTTGTTAAAGTGAAAATGTTCAAATGCAAAGGTTAGTACAAATGTTGCTAACACTCTCTTGTAAATATTGGTCTAAACCATATTATTATTTTTTTTTAAAACCATATTGGGGCAAGGTTTTGGGTAACCCTATATAATGAGTCCATCCATTATTAGGTACTAAACTTGCAATTTATAAAGTTGAACTTTAGAGCTAGCACTTAAGTAAAGAAAAAAAAATAACTACACCGTAAAATAGCCGTTGGGATGGGATATGGTGGCATGCAAAGCCGTCAGTTGTGGGTTCATCCAGCTGCCGCTTTGCCGCGTGCATGAAAGTGGAGCGCATATGGGGTGCGGCGGTCTTCAATTTGTAGACGCGTTTACGTGTATTATGGGAGGCCTGCCACTAACCTGGCTTATTTTTGGGCTAAATCTGTCCTAATTTTAGGTTTTATTACAAACTCAAATTTTAGCCCAATCGTTGAAGGATATTTTGTGTGGGGGGGGGGGGGTGGGTTGAAAACCTAAAATTTAGATTTTAACCTAACCACTAGAGTTGGTCTAAGTCGAAGACCCCAAACTAAACTCACTTGGATGTCGAAAGTCTTTTCAATTTTATGTATTTTTATCTATAACTAATTACTTATTGAGTGGCTCTGTTAAAATCTCCTAGAGTAGCATATCATGTTGTAAATAATCTCACTCATTAATTTCTTCACACATGTAGATAACAAGAGGTCATAAAATGTAAAAAAAGATAAGGATGCCCATGAATCTTCCATTTCTTTTTTCCCCATATATATAGTTCGGCTGTTGCATTGGGAATCAATGGCTTTTGCAATTTGATTAGAATAAGGGTTTGCTAGCTGGACTCGGCTAAAAGCGAGTCCCTGTCGATTTGCTGGAAGAATGTACATAGGGATTGCATGGACATTGCCTGCCATTGGAGGACCAACTTTTGCAGAAATTGAACCTTCTCTAGTGGTGGTTTGAAAGCGACTCACAAAAAAGTTTGTAATGTGACAAGGCTTCATTCAACCAGAAAGCTAAAATCTTCGGGACAATCCCAAAACTGTTAAATTCAAACAGCCCATGTAAATTGGGGCAAAATTTTACTGGGTTCAATCAAAGGTTCAAACTTTACACTGAAATTTTAACATGGATGGATAGCTGTAAATTTGTTCAGAAAAAGTGTTAATTCTGTCTGGGATTTTAAAATTTTTGTTCATATTCTGCAGTTGTTATTTTCTTGGAGGTGGGTGTTTAATTCCATGGTATTGCTGCTATTAGCCTATTGCTATACCTGGTTATCCTGGGTCATGGAGGTGTCCAGAGACGACTGCGAGGTAGTCTTTGACTCCATCATCTTGTAGCAAAACTCCTCCACATGGACAATAGTTGCTCTAAGCATCAATACGCAAATTAAAAATTACATGAATTTGGATGGAGTCATATTTGTTCAAAAAGAGTGTGCTGGAAAGGTGAGAGAGATGACAGAGAAGCACGACTACACTATCTTTCTTATCATTAAATAAAGTTATTAGATGGTTTTTAGTTAAAATTCAAAGCTTTATTATAACTTTTTTCATTAGTTTTTCTTAGTTAAAATTCAAAGTTTTATTATAACTTTTTTCATTAGTTTTTCTTAATATTAATTGTTGATGTAAATGGTGTCTAGCAAGTCTATGCAGGCTCGCTTTGAGAGTGGGTTCCCTTGGCATTTTTCTTAGAATAATTGGCTTGAAAAGGTAAATATTGGTGCCGTTATCCCGAATATATGTGTTGGAGTGTGAACCAATATTCTAGTATCCTATTGAGTAATTACTCAAAGCTCATGAGGGTGTGATTAACGAGAGTTTGAAGTTCCTTGGTAACCCTAGGTATCAGAGGTTAAATGTAAGCATATTATACGTTGTCGCACTGTAATTAGGACCATTGATTAGTTAATCATTGTCAAAATATTTGACACAAATTCACAATCTAGTAACATGATAGTACTTTCTGCTACTTGATAGTATAGCAGACATGATTTTATAATATATGCATTGAAAAATCCTCATAACTTACGATTATTGGGTTCGAGATTATTATACGTATTGATTCATCGATTGTGTTTGGCCTCCATTGAGTTATAAGTTAAATGTGGGACATAATAAAGGATAACTAGAATTACAGACCCCTCCGTTAAGTATAGCTGTAAACAATACTAAAGGTTGGTCATTCAGACAAATACTTGCCTTGCAAGAAAACATTAGTTGTATATGATACGATTTCTATGAATCTGCCACTCAGTGTTTCCCAATATTAAAGGAATAAGATGCAATATTCAACCAGTCCTTGCCCCTCAATTAAGGAGTGGCAGCACTCTACTCAGATTCATCTTTTTTATTCTGGTGCGATGTAGATAGTTGTACGCTAAAAGCATAAAATCCCAACACTTAGGTATTATACATATACATCATAAAAAAGCAGATTTTCCATTAACACCATCTGATTGATGGAGTCATGCAGCTAGGTTCTCAAAACTCCTTTTTTTCACAAACAATAGTGTTAAGATTGGCTTAGTTAATCCGTAATCATCTTCGTAATTATTGCATGTATTATAGAAATGTAACTTTCTAATTGTAAATCTGTAATCATCTTCGTAATTATTGCATGTATAATAGAAAGAACAATACTTGGCTACTCAAAGATGAGTAAGAGCTAATACTCAAAACTCTTAGTGTTTTAATTATAGAGCTTTGTGATTATGATCATAACCGTTCATACTATAAATCACAATGTAAAGATCATTTATGTAAAAATAAATTAAAACTAAGGTCGTTTGGTTAATCTATTATAGCAAATACATAGACGGTTTATAATGCTTTTACCAATTATGTTCATTTGTTTTCAAATAGTTTGATGACTAAACAACCTTATTTTTAATTAATCTTTTGTAGAGGTGATCTTTATCGGGTGATTTATAATTTGAACGGTTCTGATTATAAATACGAAGTTCTATATATTGACAATGAACAATTTTGATTAGGAGTTCCTACTCATCTTTAAGTAGCTTAGTATTGTTCTAATAGAAATGTAATTTTGCAATTGTAATTAGTATAGTATTCCGCCAAAAAATGAATTTATGTAACCCTATATATTATAATATTTTGTGCTAATCCATCTAAGGAGTCATATGTCTAATAGATAGCATTAGTAGATTAACTTGTCAATTGTTACAGGAAGAGAATTGATAGAGATCGAACCACACTAGTGTGTATAGACTTAATTACTTTCCACCACTACGATAAAGCAACATTTGCGTTCCTAAAACTCTACTGAATTCTAATACTATTTTTTTTAATAACAATCGCGTCACAATTTTTAAATCAGTTAAGATAATTATATATCCCCTCATCCTTATAAAACCCTACGCCTATATGTATATGCCAGAAGTTCTTCAAAGATCCCAACTAAACCTTACGCCTATACATCTCTGTTTAATTCACGTTCTCTAAGTCATGGCTAAGGTTCCTAAAATATCTTCTCTTCTTCTCAGGTTGGAATTATGAGTTTTAATCAGAATTATACCTTTGTTTAATTTCGTATAATTTGTCAAGGGCGATATTCCTAATATTTTATTTTGAGTTTAGTGTCTGAATTGTTATCTAGGGTTTTGTTTATAATCGTAACAGGCGATCGTATAAGGCTGCAGCTGAGAGCGTAACAGGGCAGAAGGCGGCAGCGACAACGTTGAGGACAACAACAGAATCCGGCGGTAGAACTGTCAATAATAGTGCAGCAAAGTATGATGGTGAACATAAGCAAGCTTTTTGGATGCAAGACCCAAAGACGGGGAACTGGATTCCGGAGACTCACTTTGGAGAGGTTGACGCTGCAGAACAGAGGGAGAAGCTCCTCCGTAATCCCAATAACAAAAACAAACTTTAAAGATGTGGCCTGTTATGCTATGCAGCCATGGCATATACATATTGCTGGACTTTACTTGGAAAATAAGTTACAAGTTTATATATTTGTTCTCTGTTTCTTCAGCGTGACCGCCAATTTCATCATCATCAGATGACTATACATATAACCCTCTTTTCTATTGCTTTCAAATGTTCAATAGAGTGTTCCTATTTTCTAAATATCTATTCCTATTCCTGGGAAGAAAAAAAACTAATAAAATTAAATCGATGAGAACTAATTAAAATCGATTTTATCTCTTAGCTTTTTTCGTTGACCATTATTCTTTATGGTTTATCATTTAACAATCAAGAAATGACATGTTTACTTGAACTGGAAGTGTTATAAATCGGAATATGACGCATAATTGTTCAGGGTGTTGAGAAGTTATTCTTCCAAAGTTGATCAGATAGCAATTCAAGATGAGCAAAATGGTACCAACAAAAGGCTTATTATACCTATTGTTCTAGTTGACCTGAAATTCCCAAAATTGAAAGGGGTGTGCTATCCACACACCCTTTTTTACTTCTCACACACCCTTTGTTAATTTCTATCCATTGATATTCTTTAATTCAACCGATCCGACGGCCAAAAATTAAAAAAGTGTGTGAGAATTAAAAAGGGGTGTATGGATATCACACCCCAATTGAAATTAAACGAGTCGTGAGCTGAGATGATGATAAACCATGTTTCTTACTTAAATATTGAAATTAAGATTATGCAAATCAAACGATTAAACAATTTCCAATAGTTGATTTTTGGATTTGGACCTTTAATAGGCAACTTAAAAGTTTAGACAATTTCGACCAGAAAGTAACATCATACAATGAAACAGAGATAAGACGGAGGAGAAAATCCGAGTGAAAAAGTCGCTAACGTTCTCTTTTAGCTCCAGTCTCTTTCCATGGACTCTGCATCCAACAAGTTCCACATTTTCTTTACTTTCGTTTTCACTTTTTTTTTATCCTCTCTCCTGTCAGAGAGCAATTTCTCCGACACGCCAAATTTTCAATCCTATCAAAATAAGCCTACTCGAAAGAGTCAGGGATCTCTCCTGACCCTTAAAAATTGATTCTGTTGAGCAAGCAATCGTGACCGTTGAAATTTGATCCAAAAACTACAATTATTATAATTTTTAGAGAATCTCTTATTTATAACCGTTGTATCAAATTTCAACGATCACGATTACTTGCTCATAGACTCAGTTTTTAAGGGTAGACTCAGTTTTTAAGGGTCCTCTCCTGATCCCACTCGAAATGCCCCTTTGCGCAACCACGTGTTATAACTTGTACTCTTTACGAAACCACCTGCTATAACGTATACTTTGCGCCGATTCATCTTAAGTGGATATGCTAGCAAAACATTATAAGTAAAAGTTGAGCAAATAATAAATCCACATGTTATAATATGATACAATGTACCAGTTTGTTCTAAGAGAATACATGCAAAATACTATAACAAGAGTAGAACACCCAATAAATCGCAAACCCGTAGAATGAAATAACATTAAGGAATAGGTTCATAGGTTCATGGGCCTGTAGACGCAACTATTACTTGCACGTTGCTACAAAATAATTGTTTTTTTTTTCTTTAAACAAACGATATTATCTACACTAACGAAAGGGAATGGACTTAGCAATCTCACAATAGGCTAGCAATAATATAGTTCTAATTCGCCTTTGACGATAATTGAACCTAAGAGCCAAATTTAACAAAGAAAGATTGACACCTACATCATATCACATAAAGGTACAAATTTAACAAAATTGATCCGTTCATGGCCTAATAACCAAAATTCTTCCCTCTCACTTGAATACTTTGAATACTATCATTTGGGGGGTGGGGGGAGTTAAGAAGAGGCATGTTTCTATCAGGGAAAATATCACAAGTATAGCTGAATAAGCTCATCGCTGACCACTGAAGGACTTAGCACTCCCAGATCCGTGAAAAGCAGAGTAAGATATTGCGGAGGAGTATAATCACGGGCAGACTTTTCAACTTCAACCTTGGATGGGATGGGTACCCCAAAATCTATGGGACGTAATGCAGGGGCCATGTCTTTCTGGTCCAACGGATATAGGCGAGCAAACTGGAAAACAACAAATCAAATGTGTGATGATGTTTTGGAAACTAATGAACAAATGTTGATATTTGGATCCATAAATTCCTCCATTAGATTGCAATTTCTACTCCCAAATCAATTATAAATTTCCACTTACTTATATAACATGTAGAAATGACACTGCCAATGAGTAAGTGACGTGAAGTGCCGTATCATGGGATAAAACGATTTACTTTGCTAAAATATGATATCACATTTTCATCCACTCGATATAGGATCGAACACATTTTGGCATACCTTGTAGCTTTCAGCAGCCACATAAACCGGTTTGTTCATGCTGTGTGCCACTAAGGCAATTTGAAACGTTCCCATCATATTGATGATACCTCCACTTTCAACCACTCCATCTGCCCCAACAAATACCATGTCAACCTCATCCATGGTATATGCTGCTGCAGAGTCTATTAGAAGCTTCACGGGAACATCAAGCTTGGCCAGCTCATTCGATAATCGTAATCCTGTCCTGTCTGGTCTTCCCTCTGCAGTTTACAGCATAAAGATTAAATCATAGGGCAGACAAGTAAAGCAGAACCACCCATAAGGAAAACAGTTTCATACTAATCCTACCTGTTACAAACAAATCGAATGCAAAGAACATAATTCAAAGCACGAAAAATGCCAACCTGACTAGTTTTCTATTTGGTCAACCTGTGTTGATGTAAAAGAAAAAACAGACCAAGAATCCAAAATCTCTCCATCCCATATAAGAGGTGCCAAGAGGATGGAGACTCTAATTTATGTTGTTAACCACGTCCTACTCCAGTTTATGTGCACACAAACATAACTCACTGCATCATAAAGGAAAAAAAAAACCTGTGCAGAAAACTCGAAAGAGTTTGTTGCTCTGTGCCGCAGTTTTTAATACTTCTAGAACAACTCTTGAGAAACCATGAACCAAGATGGTGCAACCATCAAATATAAAGTCTTGACTAAGCACAGCAATGATTCTGCGGGCCTGCAGTATTAGAAGTGTGACTCAATAACCGGAAGATGACAAATAGTTAGAGTTGTTAAACATACACAAAAAGATTTGTGTATTACATCAAAGTGTTGTGTATTAGGACAGTACCTTCATCGATATCTCCCCAAACTTCTCTGCCCGTTCAATTAAACGAGACTTGGCTGAGTTGAAGTCCTCGTACTCTAAAGCTGAAGTTCGAGTAACATACCGAATGAACAGGTCACATCCAGCCGTCAAAGAAATAGAGGTCGTGTCCCATGACTGAAGCACATGACGGGTAAATCAAATTAATCCAAAAATCCAAAGATTTCTACTTTTCTACAAACAACAACAAAGCCTCTTCCCACCAAGTGGGGTCGGCTATATGAATCCTAGAACGCCATTGCTCTCGGTTCTGTGTCATGTCCTCCGTTAGATCCAAGTACTCTAAGTCTTTTCTTAGAGTCTCTTCCAACGTTTTCTTTGGTCTTCCTCTACAAGATCATAATTTTTCTTTTGTTTACAAGATCATAATTTTTCTTTTGTTTTCAAGAAAGGAAAGTGTTATTGGCACTCCAAAAATCTCATTCTACACTCCTCGCATTTTTCTTTCCTAATATAGAAAGTTTGGAGTGTAAAATGAGATTTTTGGAGTGCTAATAACAATTCCGGCAAGAAAAATGAAGATTATAACTTGACATCTCATATGATGCTGCAACTTGATCTAACAAAATGACATCTCATATGATGCTGCTTCTAACGAATGGAAGCAATCCAGACGACAAGACAAGCAAGTTAGAAAATCACCAAATAGGAAAATTTTCGTACCAAGTTCAATTGCCCCAAAAACTAACAATGCAATTCAGGGACTTGAATTCTGATTAACACATTTTTTATTATGATAATTTCAGAAAGGCAGAGGCTTTTCTCATAGAACAACCCCTAAATCACTGCCTTCCAAACATCTATACAGATCCTGATTAAGATATATCAGAAGGGCATGGCAAATCTTCGACAATCCATTCACAAAACCACAAATTTTGAAGACTGCTTTTTCAGTGAAACAAACAGGGCATAGTGGACTCACTTTCAGAGACTCGGAGGCCTTCTTGAGCTCAATTTCGAGCTCCATCATGGTGGTGGCCTCACTGGACCGAATCACAGACGCCAAGGCCCGAATCGCCGCCACGGCCTCCGCCAAATCGGGCTGCTTTCGCCAGCTATTGAACTCCTCGATGACGCTGAAGGGCTTGCCAGAATTAGACCCCGGCTTAGCTTCAACCTCAGCGGTGATTGGCCCTTGCTCGTCGGGGTTTCTGCCGACGGCGGCCTGGGCCTGGGCTAGCCAGTCGCTTGTGATGACGCCGTGGTGGGCCGCCCGGGTCTGGTAATAGGCCGAAATCTTAGGGTTAGGGCTTTGCAGAGCGTCGGCCATGGATGATGACGGCGGTGGCGGGGAGAGATTAAGAGACTCAGGTTTGGAGGCTAAGACGGCGGCGTTTCGCTCCTCGTCCTGCTTGTCGAGAATGAAAGAGGCTGATCTCCACCACATTTATGCCTACGTGGAGGGTTGAGTGGGTCGTCACTTTTTCGAATTGATGAGAAAATCAAAGGCGAATCTACCGGGAACTGTTGAGGTGAGGTTCCGGTGAGTGTAATTAAGCACTTTAAAGTCAAACAGCAGGGGATTAGATGTAATTACACCAAATGGGCTCATATTACATACATCCATGTCGGCTGAGAGATGTAAAGTAAACGACGGCTCCATACTTTTCTAAGGGCTTCCAGGGGTGGGCACAAAAATCGTGGAAGTGCTAAACTGAATTGAACCACAACAAAATAAACCGTAATAATCATGTTGATTAAAAAATTCAGCATCAGACTAAATCGTGAATATAAATAAGTTGAATGGGGTGTTTATTGTGTCATGTAGTTTATGTTGGCTCAGATTGGTTGAATTTTGGTTTACTTGGGGTGTTTAGGAAGATTTGGATTCTCTCTTCTTGTTGCAGAGGGACTCATTGACCTTAGCATTGGGTTTTATTGGTTTGCTTGATCTTTGAATGGTTAATGTATTTTACTTAAAAGCTCGGTACCTAAAAAGATAAACAAGGGAAATGAACAAATAGAGTAGGTAGGTAACTCAGAATTCTGCATCACAATAAAGGACTACAGATTTTTAATTTAGTATTTGCAAAGGACATTTTGTTTGCTTGGTGCAAAGGACATTTGCATTTTGATTTAGTATTTACAAAGATTTGTTTTGTTTATAACTTTGTAGAACCATTTTAGAGAACGTATTTGAATGCAAGAATGTAAAAAAACAAGAATAAAAAAACAAGTAACATTGAATATCATTTTGATTCGGAATTCAAATATTTAGTATTTGGAACTGTAAACCAGCAAGAACCGGTGTAAAAACCAAACCGTACAGTTCTAGTAATAAATTTAACCGGAATCGCACCTAACCGAACCGTTGATATTTCTCAGTTCCTGTTCCAATTTGAGGGTGGAACCACACCATGCCCAACCCTAAGGGTTTGTTTGCAATAGCATTTGGAATTAGGAGTGGCCAAAGTTTGGTTTGGTTCCATCTAGGGTGAAATCGAAACAGAAACTAAATGTTTTTGCAGTTCAATTCGATGCTGTTTTGAAACTTGACTCAAAATGGAACCAAATCATTTTGTTGTAGTTTGGTTTGGTTTCCAACGATTTTGACTTATGTTTCAAGCTATTTGCAAACTAAATGATTTATGTCATTAATACAACCCAATTGTGTGTATGTGTTGTATGATTACCTACTAAGTAAGCACATAAAACATAAATCACATATATCATACTATCGGAGCTCCAAAACTCAAAGCATCATATCATCAACCATAGCAACTTTCTAATTCAAAATGTTCATCATAAATCGATAAACGTGAGATCATTATATCAAAAATCTTATTCATAAATATTTCAATAAATGTAAATTCAATCAATCATAATATTTCATAAAGCGTAAATTCAATAAATCATAAACGTATCATAAAGCGTAAATTCAATAAATCGTAAATAATTCATGAAACGTAAAATAATGAAATCATACTTTTCATGAATGCAAGCCTAGTATTTTAATAAAATCATGCAATTTAAGAAGGGGTCCACTCACAAAACACAACAAATCACAATGTCATTCATTATATTCGGCCAATGCCACCCAAAATTCCATAAAAGGAACCTGAAAAGTGCTACATAATATACCTGAAACCACCGACCAACATGAATGAACATACGTTTCAGTGCAGCCTAAGACAAACGTAAATAAGAACAAAAACATGAGAAAGACTCAATGCACCTTCATTGCAAGAGGTCGGGAATACTAAAACCTAGATTTAGTCTTTCTTATAGAGCATATCAGGATTCAAGTCTTGCAAACAGAGTAGCATGATGGTCTCATTTTCTGGGAAATTTATCATTATATCCTCGTCGACCTAACTCAATCCAAAATCCTACAACAAAAAAATAGATTGTTCAAGCAAAAAAGAGCATAAAAATTATAATAAATAAGAACAAAAATAAGTAAGTACATGGATGCGATGTTCAACAAGATTCCAAGCCATTACAAAGTATTGTACTCCATCGCTCAATTGTCCATTCCATCTGCTAATTTCATCACCAGATTTCCTTCCCAACCAAAAACTTACAAAGTGGGCTTGAGATCCAATCCGGGAATAGCAACAAACCGTTTGGGCCATTAACATGAAAAATTATTCTCAGAAAATGCTGAGAAATAAACGACTTCGAATTAGATATTTTTTATTCTTCATATCTGTTAATTTAAAAGCCAAACCATTTAATGTACCGTTATATAACTTGTAGGATAGTGTACAACAAACAATTCTACCAATTGAATACAATTTTGTGGTTGAATAAACTATTGTGGTTGTAAAGCACCTAGAACCACCATACATATACCCAGTATTTAGAATATCGGTATCGGTGAAAATATCGATATACATATTTGTTGAAATATCATTGAATATATCGATATCTGTATCGATTGCCTTTGATAGATATGGTGAAAATTCACTCAAAAACATGAGAATTTAAAGTTATTGTCTAGGAAATGTCATATGAAGCCACAACACATATATGATTCATAAATTAATGACTAGATACTAAATAGAAAATAAGTATTGAAATATCGATGGATATATCTAGAACTACCAGAATTGTTGCTATATTAAAACCTAGATTTAGCCTTTCTTGTAGAGCATATCATGATTCAAGTCTCGCAAACAATGCTGAATGATGGTCTCATTTTCTAAGAAAAGTTGTCATTATATCATCGTCAACCTGACTCAATCCAAGTTCCTACGCACAAAAAATAAAAATAAAAACTGGATTGATCAAGCAAAAAAGATCATAAAAATTATAATAAATAAGAACAAAGATAAGTAAGTACATGGATGTGATGTTCAGCAAGATTCCAAGCCATTATAAAGTACTGCACTCCATCGTTCAATTGTCCATTCCATCTGCTAATTTCATCACCAGTAGCACCCCCATAGACAAGGCGTAATATGTCATTCCACGGAGGGATTATGATTAAGCTTCTAGTATTTTCCTCACTACAAAATACCTACAAGCCACCCTCCTCTCAAAGCTCATGAGAGCGAAGTGGTTATGTAGTAAGTATTGAAATGAGCTGTGTAATGATAAAAACAGTTTACGTTCAATTAATTTTAAAAACATCAATCAAATACATAAACTTTAACAAATATACAAACACTTACAAGACAGAAGTAATGCATAATCATATTGAACAACATAGGAAATGCACTGGCCCACGAAAAATGTCTTGGAAAAATCCTACCAGGCCCCCTCGATCATCAATAGCATTGCTATCACATTTATTCTTTCAAAAAATGGCCACCACCTGGCTTCCACTCCAAAACATATTTTGCGTTCTTATGTTCCAGTGACCATCTACCCTTTTAAAATCCTTAGCAAAGGTAACAAGTCGAAAGAAAATAGGCAAGACCGTACTATGTATAGCAGATATGTTAAATGGCTCCCAAATTTCATTCCCAACCAAAAACTTACAAAATGGGCTTAAGATCCTGTCCGTGAATAAACAGACCGTTTGGGCCATTAACGTGAACAATTATCCTCAAAAAAATGCTAAGAAATAAACGACTTCGAATCAGATTTCCACTTTTTTCTATTCTTTCATATCTGATAATTTAAAAACCGAAATATCCAAACCATTTAATGTACCATCATATAACTTGTAGGATAGCGTACAACAAACAATTCTACCAATTGAATACAATGTTGTGGTTGTAAAGCACCTAGAACCACCATACATATATGACACACACCGATCCAGAATGTCCGTTAGGACTCCGAATCGAGTTATGCTGGCCAACACCTGGAAAGTGATGAAGCCATAAAGTATAGTGATGTGGAAAATATGAATAAATTTAAACCTAAAACTGCTTAAATATAAGAGTGCGTTGTGAGCGGGAATGAACTCATTTCACACGTGATTACAGAGCATAAGTAAAGTACAGTAAGGTAAGATAAGGATTATACCATCATAGGTAGCCACCTATACTGGGATATGCCAAGAATCCTCGTCAATACGAAAGCTCAGCTACTAAAACCTGGAGGGACGAAAAACAGAAAACTTGATGGAGCAAAAACAAAGCTTTTTAAAACCATTTCTCTTTCCAAAAATAATAACCCCTTATTGTAAAATCCGTATAATTTCTTAGAAAATAGTAATACATATGTATGTAGAAATCATGTTCAAGAGTAGTGAAAAACTAAGTATATACCATGTTAAGTATCACAGCAATGAAATAAGTAAGTCAGGTGAAATAAATCAATGTAAAATGATATGCCAGCTAAAGTCACCTAACGTAACATGTACGACTCTAAACCTGCACACGAGTCGGAACCACCTAATGTGGTATGTACGACAAGCTAGGTGTAAATAAGTATGCTCAAGTGCTACGATCACGTGAAGGCTATGCGAAGTATCGTAAGTCACCTACAAGTTGGAACCACCTAATGTGGTTTGTACGACAGGCTGGCACCTGCCTTGCATCCAAGGTGAGAGTGTGGTGCGGGAGGTGAACGATCACAAGGCTAGGCCCTGACCTCGGGCCAAGCACTAACACCGGGATGTAGGATAATGAGTACCAAATGCATCCAAGCATAACCATATACATCACAACCACTAATATCATAATGTACTCACCTGTAGCTTACCTGGGCTCCGCAACATCATGCAACATTATGCAAAGCTATACTAATGCATAGACTAAAATTTAAAGCAACCATGACATGACATTTTAAACGAAATTCCACTTAAAACCATTTCTGGGAAAAATGGGAACCATAAATACGTATATATAGAAAACCAAAAAGTCTACTCACAGAACATGATGTCAGGTCGAACCCGCTTCGCGGCCTTAGAAGATCCTTGCAATGCATTTCGCCTAGAAATGAAACCGTTATGTAATTATGTATAACGTATTAACGTATAAACGAGTTTTCCAAAT